GCCAAATCAAATGGCTTGGTGGGCCAAATTTGGCCCGCGGGCCCCACTTTGGGCTCCTCTGTTCTAGACAGCTACTGTCGGTGCTACCCATAGAAAACTGCTATCGTCATGTTTACAAAAATATCATCATCAGATAAAATCCTTTGAGTGACGGTGTTACTGAAGTGTAAGCTTAGGAGTTATGCTTAGCATAGCATTGGAACAATTTATATACACAACAAAAACCTTTCTAAAATCACAAGAATATCACTTCCTTCCTCAGAATATCCAAACCATTTAAAATGAAAAGCTAACACGTGGTTGATGCTAAACAAAGAGTCATTTTTTGTTGTTTACAGTATAATAACGATATTACAGACATCAAATTAAATTGACAAATATGTCCACAAGCCATCGACCATAAACTTATGTGACGCTAAACAATGGGACTAATTTCTTGTTTACGTATGGTAACTTATTGCAAACAACAAAAGAGCCATTTATGTTAGTATGTTTGAGTAACAGCAGCTTTATTAAATAAAACTAAACGTAACAAAAATAAACTTCTACAGGTAGAGCATATTGATAAGAAATCTGCTGAGTAAGCAACATATGACGTAACATCGGTCTGCGCATGCGCATTGCCACAAGGTAGGGCGGATAGATGGGAGTGCACAGATCACACCGGCACTCTTTTACTACAAAGCCATGTTGTTGTAACACGTGCAGAATGTGTCCGGATGCATCTCAGGAATCCAGGTAAAAATAATCAAAAGGGACAAAATAAGTAGGTCCTCTGGACGAGTTTTTCTTTAATGAAACATTTCATGTCTCCTCCAAAAGACTTCTTAAGTCCAGTGTTTCCCCTACCATTATACAGGCGGGGCACGGGGCGCCCCCCGCCAACGAGACGGCCCGCCCCTCTAAGAATTTAACGGGATGTAGTCATTTTTATTTAAATAAGGCCAGATCAAGTCGAGAGCTTTTTTTTGCGTCCCTCCATATCCACCTCTCGCCAAACTTGGGGGGAAAAGACGGTGCAGAGCGAGGCTGAGCGCTGTGTGTGGTCCTCACAAAGACAGGAAGATGTGTGTGTGTGCACGCGATGAAAACTCTGCTTCTAATAACGCAGCACCAATGCAACAGCTTTGCAAGCTACTTTTTCTTTCTTTAAAAGAAAATGTGAGAGGTGAAGCCACAGCATGGTTACTACCTTATCAATAATTACTGCCTTTTTTTCTTTCTCTGTGGGTGGGGGGTCAGCTTCACGCAACTGCAGGTGAAAACCTCCTGGGAACGCACACGTCTCCTGGACTATTTTCCACCGAGGATTACGTCGCATTTTATATTTATTTCTAAAAGCACTTCACAGCATTTCCCCCTGTGTGTTCACGTCACGAGCGCAACAAAACCGCGACGGATCAGCTGACTGTTTTTAAAGCGAGGTGCAGCGACTTACAGCAGCTGGAGGAGGAGGAGGAGGGTCTTTTAAAGACGTGTCTACATTTGACTTTTATTTTTTCTAAAATCACAGAGTTCTCTGAGTCAGCTTCAGATGTTTGTAGTTAATCATAATACCTTCTAAATTTAACCAGGTTTTTCAATGCCTTTAAATTACACAATCATTTTACTGGAGAAACTTGTCGGTTTGATTAAAAAAACAGTAAAAAAAATTTTTTTTTCTGTACAGAGAACTTCCTCTGCTATAATTTGTTTTAAATAAATATATCAAAGCTCCTCAGTTAAAACACTAAAATTATAGAAAAGATGTTTAAAAACTTCTTTCCTCAGAAAGTCTTCAGTCCTAAGAACACTAAACTGTAACCTTTAATAAGTACACATTTTACTCCTATTTAAATAAAAATGTTTGACCTGTAAGCAGAAAGCTGATGGATGTTGGTTTTTTATCTCTATTTCAAAGAAGAGGATGAGGAGGAGAACGAGGAAGTTCTCCTCAAGCAGCTCCTAAAACTGTCAACCTGCTGACTGAGAACATTTGCATATATTACACTTTGTCTACAGAAAAATATAGCCTACTTTTTAAATTATATTTTTATTGAGATATGTTTTGGACAACCAAAATGTTTTGAGGACAACTGGATTTTGTCAAACCCCCACATGAGAGGTCACCACCACGGTTAAAAAAATCCTGTGAGAAACCCTGCTGAGTTAAAGTTCTTCTAGAGTTCTAATGATTATTAGAAAGGACATGATTTGAGGTTTTTACTGATAATATTTTATTTAAAACATGTTACAGAAGTCATAAGAAGCAGGTTTATTTTGAACAAACATTACAAACGTGTTCATTCCTACAAAACTGTCAAATATATTTACAAACAACACTAAACTGTTTCAGATTAACATCAAATAAATCATGTTTTATTGAGGAGTCCTTAACCAGGATGTAGTTGGGCAATTAAATATTCATGTATGTGTAAATGTATTACCATAATTGCAGGCGAGTCACAAAAATATATGTTTTTATAAAACAAGTAGCCCCCGCCAAGACCATTTTCCTAGGGGAAACACTGCATGTCATTATCTGTAAAAAGGTCAGTAAATATG